CATTATATTTGATCTTACCTTATATTTGCTGTTTTTGTTTCACTCCCTTCTTGGTTCCCTACTGGTATTTGGGTCATTTTTTGTTTTTTTAATTATCAGTGTTGTGTTTGCTTTTCTTTTTCCAATGATTCTGTAAGGTGTACGTTCCGTTTTAATGTTTATTGTGGTTATTTTTAAGTTGTTCAGATGACTTTTTAATTCATATTTCTGTAGTAGTCAAAATCAGCACTTAAATTAGAGGTTTTTTTTTTTTCCCCCTCCTGTATGTAAAATAGAGAATTTTGTTTACTTCATTTCTTTCCACTGCCGTGTATTGTTATTTGGACAATATCTGTGGTTTTGAACCCTCTTTATTTATATTATTTAGATCCATATCTGTCTTTAACTGCTTTCAATAATCTTAACAGATGGCTTTTCCATTTTTCAGGTTTTAATTTTGATTTGTGGGGGCACAGCTGGTTTTATTTATTCAAGAAGTTCTTTGAAGGAGGATATAAGGAATCATATTTTCTGAGTCCTTGTGTACTTAGTAACATGTTTGTGGGCCTTCATACATTTTTAAAATTAAGTATAAAATTTCTGACTCAACAGGGTTTCTCTCTTAAAACTTGGAAACTTTCTTTCATTGTTTTCTGTCATTTAATGTTGCAAAGAAATCCAAAGTCAACCTGAGTTGCAGTTTTTTCATCAGGTTAGTTTTTCTACTTTCATGTTTTTAGGAATTTTGCTTTATCCATGTAATTATGATTTACCCGGGGTGCCTGGGTGTCTTAAGTTGAGCATCCAATTCTTGATTTTGGCTCGGGTCATGATCTCTCAGGGGTGTGAGATCAAGCGCTGCATGGGCCTGGAGCCTGCTTAAGATTCTCTCGCTTCCTCTCCATCTGCCCCTCCCCTCCCTGTCTCCCCCTCTTAAAAAAAAAAAAAAATTTGCCCAAGATTTTTCAAGGTATAATACTTTCTTCACTGATTATTGCCTAACATTTAGTGATCTGAAAGTTGGAAAAAAAAATTTTGTTTGTTCTTTCAGGAAAGTTTTCTTCACCTTTATCTTGACTTGTTGATTCTATTTCTTATTTTGTCCTTAGGAACAACTGTTTCTTAGCTTATAGCTCCTTTGTCCTCTAGTATCATTATATTTTTAGTAGTTTTCATCTCTGACTTTTAACTCTGCATTCTGAGACATCTTCTTTGTGTTCTGTATCAGTGAATTAAACTTGTCATAATCTTATTTTTACCCTTGTTTCCTCCCATGTGATTTTAGTTCTTAATTATTTTTCATCTTTTCATATTGGTCTGTCCTTGAACTTTCTGTTTCAAAGTTAGGAAAGCTTATATTGTACTGATGCCAAATAGTTTTATAAAATTTTGTTTATGAGTCCTATTTTTAGATTTCTTTCCTCTCTTTGAATCATCAGGATGCTATTGCTCAGGAGCATTTGCCGAAAGACAATGTAGGTACATTATCCATAGCCCCACATTTTTCTTAACTTGGGTTAAGTTAAGCTCAGTTTCCAGGGTCTCTGATGGAGTTTTCTTTTTCTTCCTTGCCTGGTTGTATGATAAATCTGGACAGGTGAGCATATGAAAAGTGATAGTCTCAAATATTCACAACTACCAGAGGTCCTGAACATCTGTCCTGTAGACAGTATTTTACATGGATTACTCTTTATTTTTATTTCTTTTAAGAATGCAATTCAGGGGCACCTGGCTGGCTCCGTCGGAAGAGCATGTGATTCTGATGTCTACTCTTGATCTCAGGGTTGTGAGTTTGAACCCCGTATTGGTTGTAGAGATTACTTTTAAAAAATGCAGTTCATGATTCATTGTTTGTGTATAACACTCACTGCTCCATGCAGAACGTGCCCTCTTTAATACCCATCACCAGGCTAACCCATCCCCCCGCCGCCCAGAACCCTCAATTTGTTTCTCAGAGTCCATAGTCTCTCATGGTTCGTCTCCCTCTCTGATTTCCCCCCCTTCATTCTTCCCCTCCTGCTATCTTCTTCTTCTTCTTTTTTTTTTTTTTAACATATAATGTATTATTTGTTTCAGAGGTACAGGTCTGTGATTCATCAGTCTTACACAATTCACAGTGCTCACCATAGCACATACCCTCCCCAGGGTCCATCACCCAGCCACCCCATCCCTCCCACCCCCCACCACTCCAGCAACCCTCAATTTGTTTCCTGAGATTAAGGATTCCTCATATCAGTGAGGTCATATGATACAATCATGAAAAACTACATCAAAAACTAATGATGTAATAATGTATGGTGATTAACATAAAAAAAAGACAGTTCTGCCAACAATAAATAAATAAATAAATAAATAAATAAATAAATAAATAAATAAAAATGCAGTTTACCACTATAAACTCTTTTCTACTTCTTGCCAAGTTTTTTTCCTAAGGAATTTAGTCTCTGACTAGATCAAGAAACAAAATAGTAGTGGAGTGAGAGAAGCAACAGGAAATATCACTGGCTGCTCTCTCAAAAAACAGCACCCATCCAGTAGAGAAACAGTCAAATGGTTTTCTCTTAGTATGTTTCTGAACCAGAAGAAAATAGTGAAAGAGGAGGTGATGATCTTTTATATCTACTTACATATGGTTTGTTCTCTCTCACAGAGTAACTGGTGGGTATTTTTCATTTCTGTTCCACTGGCTTATAGTACCTCAATTTATTCATTTCATTTTTTTCAGCCAATACTTATTAAGTTCTTTTCAGGCACTTTGCTAGGTACTGGTTATATGTAATGTTGAACAAAACAGACAGTTCTTTAATTGATGGCAGGGGTAGTTTCTGGACTTGTCAGTAATACATTTTCCTGATGGTATGATGTTTTATTTCCCTATTCCTTTTTTTAGTATTTTCTGGCAAGTTAAGAAGGGCAGTATTAAAAAAAAAATTAAAAGAAAGAAAGGCTGTATTAACTACAGTCTAGATACCATTTTAAATTCTTTTTCCATATGAAATTTTTAAGTTGCTCTGGATTCAGGAATTAATCTCTGAATAAATATAGTGTTCATTATCCTAATTTAAAGTAGTACTTCCCCAAGACCTCTCATTACAGCTAACTTACTACTGTCCTCACCTTTTTTCTTAAACTTTCTTTACTTTCTTAGTTAGATGAATAAAATGATCATATTAACAAAATTATCATGTTTAGGGGTGCCTGGGTGGCTTAGCTGGTTGAGCAGTGACTCTTGACGTCGACTCAGGTCATGATCTCAGGGTTATGAGATCGAGTCCCACATTGGGCTATGTGCTCAGTACAGAGTCTGCTAGTCCCTCTCTGTCCCTCCCCCTGCCCACGCTCCCACACACTCTCTCTCTAAAATAAACAAAATCTTAAAAAAAAAAGTATTATGTTTTATATGATGATCTCAACAAATGTTTTGGCATGATAGTACTTTAGCTTACCTTAGAGTTTTCATTCTGAACTTATATTGGGGCACTTGGGTGGCTCAGGAAATTAAGTGTGGAGTGATTTCGGCTTAGGTCATGATCTCAGGGTCCCGTGATCAAACCGCCGTGGGGCTCTGTGCTCAGTGGGGAGTCTTCTTGAGGATTCTCTCCCTCTTCCTCCCCCTACCCCAGCTCGTTTGCTCATGTGCTCCCTCCCTCCCCCTCTCTCTCTCAAATAAATAAATAAACAAACCTTTGAAAGAGACTCATCTCTATTTGAAAAGTAAGCAATAAAGCTGCATTAGGCAATAATAAATGGAGAATTACTTTTGGTTTTTTAAATTTATTATCTGATATTATTAAAAATAAAATTAGGCATTTGATTTTTCTTACCCCTTTGTACATAAGGAAACAATTTCTGTAAGAAAAAAAGAAATAATTTTGTGTTCTTGTATTCAGAGAAAAGTTATTGTAGAACTCTTTATATTTAATGCTCCCAGCAAATACTATGAATTTTTACACAAAAAATAAAAATTAAAAAAATGACAGAATTTAGCATATAAATAGACAAGAAGCACAAAATACACATAGACCTACACATCTGAAATGTAATGAGTAAATCAGTTGATTAATTTTAGTAAGTAAACCCATAAAAGCAAGATAGAATGTTGATTTATAATTTGGATAACTAACATTTGTTTTGTAATTTGTATTAGAGTTACTGTCAAGGAAAGGGAACTTTGCGCAAAACAGAACCTGGCAATTGTAGGACACATCTCATTTTAATTTCCCAGACTGTCGAGTATTGAAAAACAAGAAAGCTTTCTTGTGTGCAGAATTACATGTGTAAGATTGTAGTCATCTTGAGGGTAAGGACCCTATGTAAATTACCTTGTGCCTCTGAATGTTATAGTCAAAAGAGGCTTGTTGCTTTTGATGAAGAAGACACAATCCTTAGGGAGAATAGTGTCTGCCTTAACCTGTAGTAAGATAAATAGTAACATTTGTTTTAAAGGTAGTAAGAATTTGAAAGTATTTTCATGTTGGCCACACCAGTCTCAGCCAGTTTGTTCATACTTGGTGCACTTGTGTTAAATTTACTGTACTGGGGAGGGGAACAGGTTTATTAGGTGAAGTGCATAGTGTGTTGTTCACAGCTCTTTCACCTAGGGGTTAGACATCTTCTGTCCCCTCCCCCCAACTATATCTGTGCATCTGCTGAGATCCCATAGCCCTAAAGTACATGCTGTCTGTAGCTGAAAATCAATCTCAGATTGAGAAGGAGAAACATGGCTAATTGGTGCATTGTAGTTATTTTGTAGCAGAGGTAGCTTAGCGTTGCTGAAAGATTTAAGCTTTATGTCCGCTGGACAATTGCCTGAGCATTAAGTTTGATTTGTTTTCCATGGGTTTGAGGTTTGATATTTATTAAGTTGTTTTGATTATTTGTGTTGTGCCTGAATAAAAGGATACTTGAGAATATAAGGATACTTGATGGGTTTTCCCAAAACTCTTAAAAACAATCAAGTTTATATAACATTTTAAACTCATAAACTGTGTGTATATAATAATTGATGTGCTTATTTCTAGGGGCCACCTACAGATGCTCCTGCGGTGGACACAGCAGAACAAGTCTATATTTCTTCCCTTGCACTGTTAAAAGTAAGTATTGAATAGAGTTACTTGCTTTAGAGAACTCTGTTGCTTTCACTTGGAAATATTTGTTATGTTAGCCCTCAAACTTAAGCCATTGCTCTAGGTGCATCTGTAAAATAAGAGTGTTTTATTTCCACTGAAACAAACTTAGGTTATTAAAAAAAAAAAGTACCAAGGATCTTAATTTAAAGCTTTATACCCACCTATCTTCCTCTTCACAGATGTTAAAGCATGGTCGGGCTGGAGTTCCCATGGAAGTTATGGGTCTGATGCTTGGAGAATTTGTTGACGATTACACCGTCAGAGTGATTGATGTGTTTGCTATGCCACAGTCAGGAACAGTGAGTACTTTTTATGGTTGCCTGCTGTAAGTAAATGTGTTTCTTTTCTCTTTCCTTTTCCTATGCAAAATAATTTTGATCACATTATATTTTCTCTTCCTGATAGGAAAAATCCATCATAAGATTAATGGTAGAAATTTCTACCCTGAATGGAATTAAATCATTCATCTTTTAAATGCATGATGAATTCCCTGTAGGTCTACAAACTGAATGATGTTAGCATTAAATCCCTTAACTCATACTTTCAACTTTAACTAGTATAGCATACCAGATTTATAAGTTAGTTACCCTATAATAGTAGGGTATTAATTTGAACACTCCATTCAGAAGATTTTAGAGACTCTCTTAATTAGACTTTTAATTCACATGCGTTATCTAGTCCTCACATTTTATTCCTTTTGATTTGAAATATTGGACCCTGTTTTTTTATAGATGGTGATAAATGACTCTTAAGCTTTTCATATTCAAAATGTTAAGTTTAAAGAAACCAAAAAAACTGGCAAACTTTAGTTCTTTTGCCCAGGTGTGGTAATTTCTTTATAGAGGAAGTATACTACGTACAAATTTTAGAAGTCATTTACTTTACCTGTTTAGAATGCATTATTCTTCCCGGAAGATTTTTGTTTTGTTTTGCTATTTTGTTTAATGCATTGGACTTGTGTAAAAAGGTGTGCATTTATATCTAAAGAAAATGGCCAAAAACAACAAGCATTCTGCCTTATAAAAACTACACACGTATCCTTCTCATCTGTTTGCCTAGAAAAATACAACATGTATATTTTTCTGATGGTTGTGTTTTCTCTAATATGCAACATTTCTCTTACTGAGCCTTATAAAATAAACTAGATTAAAAAAATTGTCAAAGCTGTTTGCTTTGTTTGAGGCTCTTTAAGTATACCTCGATAAAGTAGATAATAGAGTAAAACAAGTTATATTTTTATTTTTTATTATTTATTTATTTATTTACAGAGAGAGAGCACACACTGAGGGTTGGAGTGCAGAAAGAGAGGAAAAGAATCCTAAGTAGACCTCATGCTTGGCGGAGCCCTACGTGGGGCTCAATCTCATGACCCTGAGACCATGACCTGAGCTGAAATCAAGAGTCGGCTGCTTAACCGACATAGCCACTCAGATGCCCAAGCATTTTAAAGATTTATTTATTATTATTTATTTGAGAGTAAGAGAGAGAGAGTGTGTGTGCGAGTTGGGTGAGGGGCAGAACGAGAGGGGGAGAGAGAGAATCTCAAGCAGACTCCCTGCTGAGCGTGGAGCCCAATGTGGGGCTTGATCCCAGGACCCATGAGATCATGACCTGAGCCTAAATCACGAGTCAGATGCTTAACCGACTGAGCTACCCAAGCGCCCCATTTTTTTAAGGTTTATTTATTTATTATTATTTATTTTAGAGGGAGAAAGAGAGGCCCCAGCATTTAGTTACTACAGATTGCAGTGTATTTGTTAATAACGCAAAATATAGAAAATATGCAAATTTTTCTCCAAATGGACTAGTTTATTGAGCTAAACTAATTTAGATCTGATTTTGTCCACCTGGCTATCCATTGTATTTATTTTGTACATTTGGATATAGAGCAATATGCTACGTATTAACTAAAGATTTAGATTTATATCTTAGGCTATATTTTTATGTCTTAGGCTACTTTTACCTATATTTATCTTTTCATGTCAGAATATGAAAAACAAAGTTAACTAGTATTTCTGTTACATGTGGTCCTTATCAATGATAATAAGGAGTTCTTAAGCTTTAATATCATTATTTCCTTGAAATGCTTGTTTGACAATATGAAATAGAAGATTTTTATCTTCGTGTTCATTCTGTGTAGTAGATTAGAAAGGTTTTTTTTTGGCCCAGGAGTTAGCTAACTTTCTGTAAAGATGTATGTTTCTGTCTCATATTCTTGTGTTTTTTGTTTTTTTAATCACTTTAAAAATGTAAAAAACCTATAGCAACAGATTGTATACCCCTGTTCTTGAGGATGCTTTCTCAACTGGAATTCAGATATTGTTTGTTTGGGTGGGAAGGAAGTGCTGATGTTAACTGGTATATTGGGATAGATTAGAATTAAATTCCTGGTGTTAGAAGAAAGCCTTGTAGGAGTTAAAATGGCAGTGATCTGTCACTGGAGAGATGACATGAATGCCTTTAATTCTTCCATGTTCTAAAATTTTTTGGTTGAACTAGCAAGGTAATGCAACGTTTAAAAGACTTGGTTATAGATTGTCTCTAATGAGGAATGGGGGGAGAGAGAATCTTTTTTTTTTTTTTTAAGATTTATTTATTTATTTGAGAGAGAGAGTGAGTGAGAGATAGAGCATGAGCAGGGGGAGGAGCAGAGGGACAGAGAGAAGCAGACTCCCAGCTGATCAGGGAGCCCGATGTAGGGCTCGATCCCGGGACTCCGGGATCATGACCTGAGCCGAAGGCAGACACTTAACCAACTGAGCCACCCAGATGCCCAGGAAAGAGAGAATCTTCATTCTTCAAAGTATTTATATTACCGAGGAAAAAGAAGACTTCAGGTTGTTGATTATTATAATAGCTGAAAAACTTTGGATGGGATGGAAGGGACATAGTGCTTATCAGGTATCAGAGATGGCATTTGAAAGTATGCTTGTCAAGATAGGTCTAAACAAAAATGGTTCAATTATTTGGTATTTCTGGTAGTGTGTGTGTGTGTGTGTGTGTGTGTGTGTGTGTTCGTGTGTGTGTTTGAATGCGTGTGCACATATACGTAGCCATGGCCATAAGCTCTTAAAGGATCCTGAAAACTGTCTTAACTCATTAGCTAACAGCAGTTTGGTACTTGGCAGTTTTAGAAGTTTTATTAAAGTATGGCTTATAATTGAATGATATAAGTGGGAATCAATTATGAATATCCAAACCTATAAAATTATTTTGGTATCCCAAAATAATCTGTATAGGGGGTTTTGGGGTAGCTTTTTGTTCATTTAGAGTGGATAAATGTTTGTGGGTCTTTTTTCATAGTTCTAAAAGCTAATTATGTTTCTTTCTATCTAAACCAGGGTGTCAGTGTGGAGGCAGTTGATCCAGTATTCCAAGCCAAAATGTTAGATATGTTGAAGCAGACAGGAAGGTAAGTGTTTTAACTGATTCTATAAAGGAATAATGGGAAATATTTTTAGAGATGTATTTCAAAAATCTGGATGTTTATGAATATCGTACCTAGGGAAAAAAAGCCATGTAGTTAATATAAAAGTATCACTCTCAATACTATGTATCACCTACCTAGTATCTCTTTCTTCTCGAATCAGAGAAATTTGCCAATGAGAAAATTATCTCATGTTAAAATTCTCAACCATCACATAGTATGCTTGGGCTGTAGCTTCCCTGTTTAGCATATGGAGTTACTTTCTAGTCACTTATAATTGAAAGAGTTTGTATGTTCCAGGTATTGGAAGTGAATAAGGTTCTGAATATTTAATTATATTAGGCATGTGATTTTTAAAGAGAAAGTAGAATTCAAATATTCTTCAAGCTCCTCCCCCCAGATTAAATCTCAATAGTTGTCATTCTCTTGCTCAAATTCTTCTACTGTGGAAGAAACTTCAAAATTATTGTTAGCAAAAGGCTCAGCAGCTGAGCAGAACAGTGCAAATTGGTTTTTGACTGAGTTCCTAGTTCTACTGCTGGTTTAATTGATATTTAATCCTTTCACAACAGTGGATCCTGGTGTCCATTGTTAAAAATGTACTCTGCCTGGAAAATCCAACTCCCAGACCTAAGGAGTTAAAGAGTAGATACTTACTTGAATGCTGAAAGGGTAAAACTGGCTCAGAGAAAGTGTGGTAACAAGGTGAAAAACTGAAAGCCTTATCTACCACTGCTAATGTGCATCTCTTAATGATAGCACTCCTTTGTCATGCTTATTCATTTCCATGTTTTCTGGATAATATGGTGTATGATTTCAGTGTTTCTAATGGTGCTTTTTTCACACCTGTGTGTTTCATCTCTTCTTAATTTATACCCTGTTAGTGTGTTGTTTCTTTTCATATCATAAACGTGTATTACTTGTTCTGTTCTGAACCGCTGAATGCCCTCTTTGTTTCAGGCCTGAGATGGTTGTTGGTTGGTATCACAGTCACCCTGGCTTTGGTTGTTGGCTTTCTGGTGTGGATATCAACACTCAGCAGAGCTTTGAAGCCTTGTCGGAGAGAGCTGTGGCAGTGGTTGTGGACCCCATTCAGAGTGTAAAAGGAAAGGTAGAGTAGATTCTATCTTTATTAGCATCTACTGCCACATTCTGTTTACAGATACATTAAATTAAAATTTCTTTTGTTTAAAGCAGGATTCTTACACAGAAAAACCTTGTCTGTGTACTTAAAAAAACCTGTACAAGTTGAAAAATGTGTTGTCTTGGTATGATTAGCAATATAACCACTTAGAGATTTGTTTCTACTTCAATCAGCTGTTGCCTAACCATAAATGTTTATTTTTAAGTTTGTTTGTATTTCATAGATTTAGAAATGTGAAACCATACTAAAAGCCTGCTGTACACATTTTATTAATATTTTAATAAACATTGTTCTACCTTCCTTTACTTTAAAATGGTGAATTTGGGATTGGCACATTTTATGTATCTAGTTAAAGACACTGTTTTGCATACATTGTGCAGGACATATTCTGGAGTTGGATGTTCCAAATATTTTGGACAATGAAAACTTGACCCAAAGACTTGGTATCAGCCATTTGCATTTTTGGAGTGAGGACACAGATGAATGATTAAATATCCTAAGTGATTATGAAAAGAGATTATCTTGCAAAGCATATTGGGTTATAGTTGTTCTTTGTTGAAATCTTTTGTTCTTGTTTAGTTCTTTTTTTTTCCCCCCTTCGTTCTCTCTCTCTCTCTTTCTTTTTTTTATTTCTTTCTTTCTAGCCCCATATGCCATTTTCCTATTTCCTGCCTCATGACAGCAGGGAGCAGCTCTATTATCACCTTCACAGAGCTGTCTGCAAATGTGAGAGGCAATTCGATTTTGCTCAACCACAGGGAGAGTGGATTAGAAAAACTACAGAACATACAGAAATTGGCTAGGTGGTTACTGCTTTAAAATACTGCTGAGGTGTCTTGTTTGAGCATGTACTTCCATTGTAGTGTAGAATAATTGTTAAAATAAAATCACAATACATTTATGGAATCCTTTTTATGCAGCTTTTACAAATAATTTTTAGAGCACTTAAAAATAAATATTAGCTTGCTATCTATCAGACCTGGAGTTTGCTAGTATTGCAGATCACATTTACATCTGCTCACCAGCTCAAACAAACTAAATATGGCTGTTAAACATGGAGTTTTTATCTGTCATGATTTGAAGTTGAACACTTTCTGACATCATATTATTATGATGAATAAAAATTGAGGCCTTCTCTAAATCATGATCCCATTAGATGTGATTTAGCTTTTCAGAGGTGGAATCTAGCACAAAAACAGTAATAATAGAAACCAATATACTAGACAATTCAGAATGGATTACTTCTGATGCTTGCTGTATACCTATATTTCAGTTTACTTTTTTTAACTAAGTATATTATTACTTAACTGTACAGATAAAAAGAGTTGAAAATCCTTGACTTTTGTTAGTTTTATGAATTAAAGTACAGTATAATACTTATTAAATTTAATTCCTGATAATTAAGGTATCTTTTTAATAACTCACATTAACTCATTTAAGTAATAATTATCATTTTAGAAATATAACAGAATTATTTGATTAAGTCTCTCCACAATATTTACAAAAAATAATTGAAGCTTAATGTTAAATATAATTAGAGTTCTATTTTGTAGTATTAGTGTATCTGACTTTTTATGATACTTGACTCGTGATGGTGGCCACTTTGAAAAGGAAAATATAAACTTAAATACAATGAAAGAAGACATTCTCAAAACTGAATATAAATAAATATGTATTTTTAGTTATCTTATTTATAGTGTCTTAAATGCGTTTTAATTTATATAACTGGAATTTGCATTATTTCTAATTAATCATAATTCATGTTAAAAGAATGAAATTCATTTAAAAATATACTTGTATGACGTGACTGTTGTCATGTGGTAAAATGTTATTTTTTCAAAATAATATATCTAAAATTACTTTATAAAATCATAGGTATCACTGTCTAGGTTTATATGTCATGAAAAAATATTTTTGAAAAATTAAGTATAATACTTCTCACTGATGATTCACATCACTTCTTGTACCTAACATGTAGATTTATACAATTTCATGACCTGAAATAAGGATCCAGTTCTTTCTCAATAATGTAACTTCATCTATAGGATGTCTGAGTTTGGTTATAATTTATGGTTATTTTAGTGTCAGGACCTCTCAAAACTGTGAGCCAAATTAAATGCTAATAAATCAAGAATATAAGCTTTCAAAAAATGAAGAATAGCATAGGATTCTCCCTCCCCCTTCCCCGAATGTGATTTATCAGAGCTGTCAAAATATTTAGTAAGACAATGATTAGATCAAGAGTTAAAATGACAATCTATATGTAAATTATTCAGTTGAGACTCTGTTCACTTAATACCTCTTTCCTGTAAGTTTTATATTTTCATTTTTATAAATCCCAATATTATCTATTTTTGAGTGATTAGGTAAGCACTGAATCTTTGTAATCTCATTAATTCATAGTGTTTGATTTCCTTTTATAGTGACTTGATTGTATCTTTATGGAATTATTGCTGTGTGCCAGGTATTGTGATAAATATTTCAACTTGTCTCATGTATTCTTTAGTAATTCTGGAGATTCCATTACTTCTCCATTTTATCAATGAAATGGTAAAAAAAATTAGGGTCAAAGAGATTACTTTGCCCAAAATTATAGCATTATTAAGCAGCAGAACAAGGATACAAATCAGGTCTATAAAATTTCAGAGCTCAAGCTGTTTTACTGGCTCTTTAATATTAGACAGTTATGAGCTATGTAATTAGAGTAACTCAGGATTGGAAAATGAGTACCAGAGGTCATTGCAAAACTTTTTCTGATATGGATAGATACCATTCCCTTCAGTGTAAGTCAGGGTAAGGGGCTACACATTTTAGCTAAGTTCTCAATAGTTCACTTTACTATTTATAGTAGTTACTATGTATTAATTGATTTTCCTCATACAGTATTTGTTGTATTAATTTTAAAAAACAATTTAAACAGACTCATTCCTGTCAGCTTTTGCGACATCCCTAGGACCAAATGTTGAGACCTACATAAATAATAAGATATACTATATGATAAAGAATCCATAGCACTCTGTATATTATATAATCCTGTAAATGTTCAAAAATGTCCTGTAAATGTAAAAAATGTTTAAAAGATGGAAAATGATAACATGTATAATTTAAATGGAGAGTAAGCTATAGAAATTACTGATGAGCTTGACTCTAAACTTGTCAGTGAAATAGTTTTTAAAATTTTGTTTTAGTTTATTTGTAAAATACACATATTCAAATATTTTAAGCTTCAGTTCTTAAGTAGTAAAGTTGCAGCCTCTTGCTTAAAGTTTTTTATCTTGTTTATTCAGCCCACAACTGGACTTGATCCAGCAGCAGGTTTAGAAGTTAATTTAGCTTATAATATGATTATACTTCTTTAGGGCAAAAAGAATGATGACTTTTTGCAAAGTCATAAAACTACCATGCAACTATTACTACTTTTGAGAACCTGTTTTCTTATCACAATTCCTGTCAGTAAAATGGTCATATGTTACCTGCTAACTGATAACAATCTTTGTGTTTGTTCTCTATTTTGAAAACATTAAAAGAAAAAAACCACTAGTAACCCTTTAGTCCAAATAAATCTTCACACTGGTTGAATTTTCTTGAGAAATTTTTATTCAGTCTGGTCAGAAATAACTTATCAGCAGGTATTTCTTAAGTACACCTCATGTTGCCTGTGTGCTAATGATTCTGGTATATAAAATAGATAAAAAACCAGTCTTTGTCATTTTGAGAAGTTAAGTCATAAACATTTAGTGTATGCCAGATAACATATATCTAGTGAGTCAGATAACATTTTGCCAATTATGTGCTGATAATCCTGCATTGCATATTGATAGAATACAAATTACACTGATACTGCTTTGTTTCTATAACTAAGTATTAAATTGGTTGCTAGAGAGAAATAATTCAACAAATACTTAATCAGAACCTTGTATGTGCCAATTTGCAATAAAGTAGTAATTGTCTAGCAAACATAGTAAATGCAAATTGGAAGAAGAGAGAAATTGGTATGGCTGCACAAAATAAGTGAAGCTTGGACTGAGCTTTGATAGGCAGGTGGGACATCACTCAGAAAAGAGAAGTTTGTCCTTCTGGAGAAGAATGTAGAAATAATTCTATTCCAGGTGGTATACTTACTTACCTCTTTGTTCATGCTTTTCTCACAGATATTTTAGAATGTAAAATGAGTAGTTTTTGATGTTGTTATTGTTATCTTTATTCAGCATTTTATAAAAAAATGGGGCTTTGAAAAATAAATGCAAATATAGGAGGAAAGGATTAGGGAATGAATATTATGAGAGTTTACCTTTTGAGAGATTTGTAAGATTTTATCTTTTTCAGGGTAAATGGGGGCAAATATTTTACTTATCCAAAAGTTTTGTATTAGAAGCTTTAAGGTGGTGGAGATTTTATAAACTACTCAAAAATAGTTTTGTTTTAGCTTTTTCTTATTGTTAAAAAATACATATAAAGGCAGGGCATAGATAATGAAGAGCACAGGCTTTGGGATCAGGGCTGCAGTCGAATCCCCTTCTTATCTCTTTATCTCTTCTTTATAGCATAACTTTGAGCAAGTTATCTAATCTTGAGCTTCAGTTTTCTCATCTATAAAACAGGGCTTTTAGTACCTATTTCCTAGTATTTTGAAGTGATACGTCATGAGTCGAGTGCCCATGCCGTATAGGAGATGTGCAATAAACATTTTATTCTCAAGATTAAATTAATTGCTACTTAGGGGTGCCTGAGTGGCTCAGTCGGTTAAGCATCTGCCTTCAGCTCAGGTCATGATCCCAGGACCCTGTGCCGGGCTCCCTGCTCAGTGGGGAGCCTGCTTCTCCTTCTCCCTCTGTCTTCCAGCTTGTGCGCTCTCTCTCACTCTGTATCTCAAATAAATAAATAAAATCTTTTTTAAAAAATAAATTAATTGCTATTAAATACATTAACAACTAGCATATTTTAAAATATAGAATATAAATATTTCT